ATATATATATATATATATATATATATATATATATATATAATTGTAAGTATACTTTGCTTTTAAAAGATAATTCCATTGTTTACGTTTCATATATTTTAGACAAGACTTATGATATACAAATATTTATTTATGTTCTATCATCAACGTTGTGATTACATGTGAATGATGTATGGTATGCGCCTCTCGCGTGTCAACGAAGTCGTGTCATTAACCACTCGAAGGTTTATATAGACCTAGACCTATGTTGTAGTGCAAGACCAAAAGATGATATATCTTTGAGGAACTGTTTAGAAAAAATAAATGAACGCTTTAACTACTGTATATATCTTGTAAACATGCTCCACGTTGTCTAAAACCGAATGTTTTGTGAAAGGATAGAAGTGGCTGTTTTTTTTTTATAAATTGAAAACCTTCTAGAAAATTATAATGTATGTACACTCTTAGGCACAATTATATCAACAAGCGTGATTCTAACACTGTGTTGACAGATAATATGGTAAAAAAGCAACAAATATAAACATTATGCTAGCATGACTATTATACATCTTCTTGATTAAGATGTCAGAGTTCACAAATACACAATCTTCCTCAACTGCATGTTAATTTGTTCCCGGGTGTTCATTGGAATTAAATTTATTCTTTTTTTTATATGTAAATTTATATAGGCCTAGTTTTTACTGGCTATTAACGTTTGATTAATACATATGATTTTAATTTCGTTTTTTTTTTGTGTCATCCACTTGTGAAATAAGTACTGGGTCTTAGAATGTGCTGTCGATTAAAAGACAGAACATAAAATAAACATATAAATAAACAATGAAATCGGATTTTTGTTCTTTTTAAATAGGACAACTATAGAAAAATAGAAGCATATAACTTTGCTATAAATTTTAAATATGACAAGTGAACCAGCACAATTGCATAACCATCACGGACACTGGATACAATTTGACGCTTTCAAAAATTTGAATAACCAACCTAGGTAGTTGGGTCATTCATCCTTTTAATAAACTAAATATCACTCGATTCAAACTGTATTTCCTAAAACACTATTTGTTTTTAATGCCCATTTTTTCTTTCTGTTTGTTGAATATTTCTTTTATTTTATTATATAACCTCAAATCAGCATAAAGTGCACGCTGAACCTCCTTATCGTTCATTAAATCCTGTACCATTTGCGAATGTTCATCCAAAACAGTTTCATTTTTGACATTCGAGAGATTATTGTATCGCCCGCTCGTATTCTGGACGCTACCTTCACAACTTTTGAACGGAACACCGTAGACTTGTTCTATCATCGCCAAAGAAGTATCGTATTCTTCTGTCAAACCAACAACAGCGAACCATTTTTCAAGGTTATTCACGCAAAAATCTACTAATGCATTTATCTGATCCTTCGAAAGTATATCGAGCATTATCACTTTTTGCCGAAACCAACATGGTGTGGATCCATAGATATCATGTGGAAGCAAACTAGCTTTGAAGTTATTTTTAAATTCGCTACAAAATTTTGGATGAAATAATAACTGACGAAAGAGAAAACTTCCTTGATGTATTGCCCATTCTTTTAATGTCACTTTCCATGGACTTTGGGCTCTGCATAGTTGATCACTTCTCGCTCTTCTGCAATATGAAAAACTTGAAATAGACCTATGGTACGGATCTCTGAAGACAGTGAAATATGAACACGGTTTTAGAATCTCATCACACAAACCAAATGCATACCCACCCATGAAAACACTATAGCTATCACGGTATGAGGCTGTGCTCATTCGTCGACTAACTGTTAGACGAGTTGAGCTAGATAAAACAGGTCCAAGTTTCTTTCCGCTTTTTGGAATAACTTTTAACATGCACTTCTTCGTTGTTGTACCAGCAGCTTTGTTGTGATGCAGATATATTATAACAGAATTCTTGTAGACACTCTTTTCTACCTCTGTGAGATTTGTTGTAAAATAATTTGGAAGGAATATATTTCTGTCGATCCACGGTAACACTTTTCTTGATGAATTTAGAAAAACAGCAGTTGAAACAATTGGCGGTTTGTGTAATTTAGTTTTATTTGCCGTAAGTGATGACACTGTTCCTCTATGTTTCGCAGCATAATTCCTACAATTATAACAAAAGAAAAAAAAAGATGAACTAGAATAATTTTGGCATGAAATAATATATAACCGTGTTATTCTGCTATCTGGTACTTTAAAAATTAATGTATTATATGATGACACCAAGCTTCGTTAACTTTTAAGTTAATTACACAATTTTAGTTGTGTATTTAAACATTGATTATATTTTTATATAATATAATTATGTTCCACGTCATCCATTGCTTAAGTTATTTAATCATTATTTTACTTGAACACACAATATCGAACAACGCCGATTGCAATCGCTTGTAAACGGAAAATACATGTATACAGATATCAATTTGAACTTATGAAATAAAATATGCATGATATCTTTGGCGCTATGCATTATTTGTATGCACATTTGTATGTACAGGCATGTATATACATAATCATTTATAACTTTTTTTTAATTACATTTTTTATTATCAATATATTTAATAAAAAATTCATTAAAATTATCTGAGTACATCAACTCAAACATTAAATATACCATATGCAACGATTGTCTGGGGGACGAAGTATAATCAATACTGACGTATTATAAAAACACAATAACCAATACAACTATTGTTGGCAAAGTCATAAAAGTAATAAAATAGACGATATTTTATCACTAAGATACTAACCGTAAATTCAATATACATAATATATCAGAGTGGAGGTCGGTTTATTAGACTAATTATAGTCTTGGTTTGATAATTAGCAAATTAAATCATTGTTTTTAACGAGGCTTAATATTGTACTACTTCCACTTGGTAGCTGTTAAACGAGGATTGAAAAACAAAATAATAAAAATTGATTTACCAAATATTGTAGCAGTATAGGCTTTTGTAACGACTATATTATAAGGCTTATGCTACAATTTTAGCTTAAACTTACTTTTCCTCTCCCGATTTCTGCGCTCTAGGTTGTATGACGTTATCTTCATCCATTAACCTCCAGTACCCTGGGTCGATTTGATAGGATTGGTGAACACTTAAATATACACCGACTGTAAATAACGTGCCGACAGCTAACATTTTCCATTTAAATTTCATATTTTCTCTGCATATATTGCGGCTAGCAATTGTAGCGGTAAGTTCGGGATCTAAGCAACCGCTCACGCGGTTTTGTCTGAAATAAAGTACATATTGTAAACACGTCAGATTTTCATTTGGTACATATACATTATGGAGTCCGTAATTTTATTTAATATTATTTTTACTCTAATAATTCTAAATCAACATGATAAGGCACAAATCCCATACTTGATTGCTTACCATGTATTATCACTGTCGGATCCAGGAAATTGTTTGGCCTAAAGAGGCCCCAGGGAAGGATTATCACAGATAGAGGATCCAATTTATGATTATGGCACCTGTAGATGGCCGGAAATAGCACTCTGGGACTTAAATTTTAATACAATTTTCCTTTTTTCTCCATTACTTTTATTTCTTTGAAAAATTTAGGGACTATTTTAGTTAAAACGTAGGACAAAATATTCCCACAGTTGGCCTATTAATAAAAAATATTATCGTTCCTATTGTCATTTTTGAATGTTTGAGTGTTGGTAGTCAATGTAACTTTTAGTAACATATATGTACGGTAGGTTTAATTTTGCGAAAACTATTGTTTTTTATTTACCTGTACTAACGTGTTTGATAACTTTTTTTTATCATATATTAACGAGGTTTTCAATGTTTAACGGAGGCAGAATCATTAAATTGTTACATTTTTATTTAAGGTTGCGTATACAAGAGGATAACACTTTTATTGACAATAAGGTTAGGGGACATTTATCTTCTTATAGTAAGACCAAAGAGATGTAAAAATTATTATTTTTACATCTCCCTGGTAAGACTTTGTTTTGTGTAGTTGCTGGTAGGTAGTTTCAATGTAAATAATGTGTAAAATTAGTGTTAACTGCTGACTGCTTTTTTTTCGTTCAAACCTTAGGACAAATTGTTGTACTACCTCAGTCTTTTATTGATAAATCAAGAGCTTGTGGTCCAGTGAGCACACGTACGACATAGAGAGTTTTTTTATTGCACGACGAGGTTAAGATCTAGGCCGTAACGAGTATAGCAAAGCAAAGAATGAACAAAAGGCCTACCATTGAAATAAGTAAACATATTTTATTCTATAATAGGCCCTTTGCTGTAGATGAAAATGTCTATTAAACATCAGAAGCATTATTTCGACAAAACCAGCACACTTTTGAATGAAATAATGGCGATAGAAATAATTATATAAACATGAATAATACAAAACTAGTTCTCGAGTATTGTTCTAAGAATGATAGTGGAAATTACCGTAGAACCCCTCTTTTGGGACAACCCTATGAAGGGGGCACTTTTCTGGGAAAGAGGGGAAATATATCTTTTAACACTAGCGGCCAACCGCTAAGGGGACGGGAACACTTTTTGAGTGTGCCAAATGGTCAAATAACCCCTATTAAGGGAACACCTTTTTTTAAATGTAGGCCTATCACAACAAGTAAGCAGTTTTAACATATGAAAGAAATTATTCAACTTTATATTTTGACACCTTTTGAGCATTAAACCAGAATTGTATTCCTGAACCTTTAGAGTGAACATCGGTATAGGCCTACTACATGTGTTCGTATAAACCAATCCTGTAAATTTGTGTTGACCCTTAACATAGGGATAACTTTTTATTTGTTTTTTGTGTACTTTCATATAGGATTCTAATCCATACCATAGCATGCAATTCTAAGTCATTACTCTATTAATGCTGCATCCATCCAATAAAAAGATCAATGAAAAAAAAAAGAATATTTGATCATTTAAATTGCACCAGGAAATAATATTGGGAACATAATATATAAAACTGTTGTTGTCTAAATTACATTTCTGCTGATTTCATATTTTAAATGAATTATTTTTTCATTGAAAATTATTGCTATAAATTAGTTCTAATCCTACTGTAACTAATTCTTATGACAATACAATTAGAATTATAAAGAATGTCATAATAGGGACAACTTCACATTTTTGGTTAGTGTTCCCTGATTCAGGGGACAACCCTATTAAGGAGACACTTTTTCAGTCTCGATGGTGTCCCCTTAATAGTAGTTATTTAAACACAAATGAATGAACAAAAGGCCTACCATTGAAATAAGTAAACATATTTTATTCTATCTACCAAAATGTTATTACTAAACCCATAAGGCACATAAATTCGACATAATTCACTAGACCTACCTTCTTTCATGTGATTCTTGGACATTAATAAAATGCCTACTTGGTTAATGCCATGAATGGAAACAGACTATCATATTACAGCGAAACTCTGACGCTCTCCGAGTCAAACAAAAACCTCATGAAAGAGTACACATCACGCATCCATGCTCAAACTCAGTGGAATTAAACTCGACAATCGATAGTATATTATTACTTAAGCTTGTAATATCATAAAAATACCTGAGCGATCGATTCGTTGTCGTCAACGGTTTAAAATTAATTCACTTAAAACAATCAATATCAATCAAATAATATTTGGTAAGAGTGATAAGTATAGATTAATATAACATTTTGAGCAAACACACTAACCACTGACAGTGACTACAATAAGCTGCATAACCATGTTCACAACCAAGATTCATGATAACTGGATTAAATATTAAATGGAAAGGTTAATAGTTTAATCATAAAAGATAAGAACAGGACTGTTCTGGAAAAAGTCACACGTACATACAGTAGGCCTAATGTATCATGAGACAGTTGAGTAATGTAAGAAACATTATACGCAGAAAGTCAGTTTTAAAAAAACCTGAAAGCCAAGAAAAACACTCTTTTCATCTTTTTAATCCAGATGTCTTATGTAAATAATAAATAAATTAGCAATTATTAGAAGCGTTTTCAATAGGCCTAGATCTAAAATTTTAATTTTCCCTTAATCTTAGAAGGACTCCATCAATAATACAGGCATAATAAGTTTTAATGTTCATTACAATAGGTAAATTGTATACTAAACATAATTATCGATTATGTTCATTACAACTTACCTATTATGTGCCACTAATACTATATCGCACGGGCTCTCTTTCAGAGTTGGCCAAATGCAGCATACCGACAAGAGATACAGCCACTGTAAATCTTCTTGGAACGTGGTATACGCCTACTTTTTAATCGTATCCGTAACTTATTCCGAAAATCCGACACAATAATGATCGCTAGCAACATCAAAAGGGAAGCCAAAAAGGAAAAGGAAACAGTGACCAAAAATGGAGACCAGCGATTAGAATAAGAAAGTCAACATTTTTATTTGTATAATTAACTTCGGCCTATAGGGAGAAGGGGCGTTAAAAGTAGAAGCACATTATTATCTCACCTCTGATCTACAGACATTTACTTATTATAGATCTTTTTAGACCTAACACGTCATAATAAGATTGTGAAATATTTATTTTCTTATACGCCGTGAGACATCTGATTGAATGAACTTAAAGGCATTTTCAATATAGGCCCCTACTAATAATTACTTTCCTAGTTACTTAAGGCTTATTTGTTTAACATTGTGTGCTTAGTGTGTTTGTTGTGTTTTTCGTTATATTTTTTTTATTGTTACGAAATGTATTTACGAAAGTTTCATACCACGGTACGACGCACTACAAAACTATTTAAATATTTACGCACGTTTTTGTTAGATATTTAAAAGTTTGTTCACGTTTTTGACTAACTAAGGGCATCATAATTCATCACTTCACTGCAAGTAAGTCAATGATTGTTCTATTGTTATCAATGTTATACTTTATCAGTGACTCATGAAATGCCCAAAGACAAAATATATATGCTCAATATTCTTGAATATTTCTTCCAACATTATATAGCTATATCTGCACGTTACAATGCTTTAAATAGCGTCATATCTGTCAAAAATGTATGAGCATTACAACAATCATTCAACTTTATTTATTTAGGCTTAAGAATAAATTATAATCACAAATACCAAGTAAAGAAATATAGAACCGACTAGGGCCTATAGAAAAATTTTACTTTTCCACAGTGGCAACATTCCTAATCAGAAGAACACATTTTATAAGAACACTGAGACTGAAATTGCTTAAAAATTAAAAACAAAATAAGAACAAATTGAGACTGAGGTAAAATGTAAAATGAAATTTATATTTAAAAAAAATGAAAAAAAAAAAACCAACAAATCTTTTCTGTACCTTATTTGCAGTTGGTGTGACAATGTAATACCTTCTTTAGGCTAAGACAATACAGTAATATACTGCTCTTTTAATCATTTTCTGTGTTTGAAAAGTGTGTAAAAATAAGAACAAACTAAGAATAGTTTGAGCCTTAAATCGGACAGAAAATAAGAACACTGAGCCTGGACAAAATTGTACTGGTTCTTAAAAAAAAGTTATTGTAATATCGAAAGCTATGATGAGGGCAGTATAATAGAGGCAGTAGAGTATATTGGCCCATAAAAGATCTATTAATCAAACAGCCGAGTGTTTTAAGTTTACACTATCCTTATGCAACAAAATATTACGAAACCTTTAATATAATTAATCTGTTGTACGTCCAATATAGTTGCAAAATCGTCAATATCATGACGGTGGCAGTTGGGCAAAAAGAGGAATTCACCTGATAGACCAAACCAAGGCTCTGTCTCTGGATTCGATCAGGTGCCTTTATTAGAATACTGTACTTAAAAGTAACCCTAGTAAATGTAATCCGAACTCACATTTGCGAGATGGTCAGAAAGATATTCTGTATCCAGCCCTCCGGGCTTCACCTAAAATATAGCCTGACAATTATCTTGCATTGGAGACCGTCACCACCTTGCAACGCCGCTGAAACTTGGCCTACAGTCGATAAGAAGCGCAAGCAAGAGCCAAGACTAATGTTATATCAGACCATCATTTTTGCTGCGAAGCAGCCAATTCATATTCTTGACAACAATTTGACCTCTGAAAGGTCATTGTTTGTCAAAAAACGAGTGCCTAAGACGACTGAAAAGCGGAGTTTCCTTCTTTCGTTCTGCCGGGTAAAATCAATTACTTTAGGCGACGTTTGTAGACTAACCTACTCGTACCAACGTCCGCATGTCGCGCTAGCCTTATCCTACTCTAGCCCTAGACTAGCTAGGATGGTATAGGC